TAATCTTTGATAAAAAAAAAAGCTATTTATAGTTTTTTCCGGTAAAACCGGGTATTGTCAATATTTAAATTCATTAGGGAATGTATTCGGACGTCTTATGGGATATGTATAATTCAATTCAATGTCAATTATTTAAAAATAAGCAAATTTTGACTACTTCCTGTTCTGCTGGAAGTGTTTACGGTTGTATTTTGACGACATTACCTGATGCTATTTGACATTTTGAACAACTTTGCTTTTTTAATGTTTTAGAAATTCTCGATTCTTGTTGAAATATCAGGGGGGAAATTGGTCTTCTAGTTCCCTTAAGGTCATACGCAATTAAGTTTGAATTTTATTTGGTTCTTCCCTGGAGTTGAAGAGTTCCACTAAATAAGGAATCCGTGTGCAATACTTTTAATGTCTATAGATGGATTTCTACATCTCTTCTAAAACAATTTTTGATGAAAAAAATCTGGAATTTATGCTTTGTAATTTTTGTGCATTTAAGGCGACTAAACGGGCGGTCCTTCGGATGAGACCGTATAAACCAAGGCCCCGTGTCATAGCATGTGTCGCACGATAAAGATCCCTCCCTGCTCAAAGGCCGTAAGTGCCGAGCATAGGCCTAAATTTGCAGTCTTTCACCGGCAATGGTGACGTCTCCATATCAGTGAAATACTCTGGAGAGGGACGTTAAACAGTATACAATCAATCAATCAATACCAATATGTTACATCTTTCTTGGCCCAGTACTAGTGGTTCTTGAAAATATTTTAAAGATTTTTCCTCTGTATTCCTATGTTGAACTTAGATACCCAACTGTGGTACCGCTCTTCCACCGGGGGTCATGATTAAAACAAATTTGAATCCATTAATACAAACCATTACAAAATGAGTCTGTTGTATATAACATGAAATTTTTTATTGCTATAACCTTTATATTCCTTTGTTATGATCCACTATGATAGCTCCTATGTTTTTCTATTTGGAAGTCTTAATCTACATTACCTTGTTTAATGCTTTAATGCTGATGATCAATCACGGCTTTGTTGTTCTTGTGAAGAATTTTAACTATTTTCCCCTTGCATTCCTACGTAAAACCTTGTTCACCTATCGGTGTTGTGGCCGCAATCCATCCCGAGGGGTCATGATTTGAAAACAATTTTGAACCTACACTATCAGATAATGATTCCAGATCACTATGACCAATCATGGGTTTGCTGTTCTTGAGATGACGATTTTAAAGATAGATTTTTCCTATGTAAAGTTTTGATTCCCCAATGTTCCCCCATCCTACCCCCGGGTGTCATGATTTGAACCTAAACTAAGAGAGGATGCTTTTATATAACCATAACCAAACATGGGTTTGCTTTTCTCACAGTCGGGTATCCGCGCCGGTTGTGACAGGTTTGGATGCAGCGAAAATGACGTAAAATGTACAAACGGTGAATTCTGTGTACCTTTTCCAGATCTATATGTTGGTAAACATTAATTTTTTCTCAATTTTTTATTGAAATTTTATAGGTATCTGGTTAATCAAAATGATGTGTTTCAATTCTGTTTATGGAGTTCATTTAAATAATTCGTTGATGCAATTTTTTATCGATGCACATGACACTCTTACCCCTTTAGCAAGTTTTAATTCGTGGTTGTTAAAATAATATCAAATATATTTAAAATCTAAAGCAGCCAAAAGAGAGAAACATCATTTTACAAATAAGATATTGATAGTGTAATTTGTGTCCCATACAAGAAATGTATTTAAAAAACGTTTTATTTTATGTACCCGTAACAAATATAGTACGGTTTGGATGATGGGAGTGTCCTGGTTTGGATGCAAATTCAACATCTATATGTTACGGTGTGTACAGTCTATAGTTTCAAATTTCTGAATCCTGTAGAGCTATGCGAACCAGTTTGCTTGTTTAATACTCCCTTACATGCAGGGAATGGCGTTTATGATAACATATATATTAGTATCAATTCATAAAACTTTTTCACAGGCACATATATGAAAGAAACCACCTTTCCCTTTTTCAAATATTGTTTTTACTGTAATAGTTGATTTCATCTAAAAATGTTGAAACCCTTTTCTTCGACACGATTTAAAGGAAAGTTTTTGATCACACCCCCTTTTTTTCTTTAAAACGACACTACGTACACTCGTACGTGCCTGATAACATAAAATAAATGTAAGATATGTTAAGTTAAATTAAATGGAAAAAAATAAATCATATAATGTATATCCCGTCAAAAGTGAGTTACCAAAGAGTTATTCTAAATTGTAATCCCCCCCCCCCTTCCTTCTCAAAACGATATTATGTATACACTGTATATAGATCCAATGTAGTCTCAACTGTCTCAAATTGATTAGAAACTGCAGCGTTATGATCAGGCGCGGATCCAGAAACTTTTTCCAAGGGGGGTCCACCCCAGGGGGGGGGGTTGTTGGCGATGACTTTTAATGCTTCAAATCTTTAACTTTTCATGTCACTTTAATACAGAAAGAATTTAAAATGGAATAGAATATATTTTATGTAATATTGGTGATCTGACAAAGTTCCATATCCTACTGATCAACCATCCAAATATAACATAACACATGTATTGTGTGAATATTGTCATTTATTAGATGACAATACATAAAATATTAACATTTTATATAATAATAACAAAAATAATCTAAGGGGAGATCCAGACCATACTGACATCACAAGTTGCTTTTATAAAATCCCTGAATATGACAAAGTGATCTCCCCTGCTACATAACTTTACAGAACTTTGACAAAATAGAATACAACATAAATCTTTTCACCAAACTATCCAAAAATGATATTTTGATACATACAAACAAACAAAAAGAGCAGCCAGTCCATGTATGTAATCCATACTTTACTTATCTATATATACATTCATAAAAATTTTATCAATGCTGCTAACAGATATACAGGTGAAAGATGGGGAAGGAGGGTGGGTAAGTCAACAAAATTCCTCCTTGTTTACAAAGTTCGTTTAACCGTCGCTATCTAAATATCACGTGATACGGCCTAGCGATATGATTGGATGATTGCTCTTTTACTTTAGGATCTAGCTAAAAACACCAAAAGCTTGAAAAACCTAGCATTACATTAATAACCAATGCAAGAAAATGTGCAAACATCTCACAAATTACATAAATGTCATTATTTACAATAATGTTGTATTATGTAATATTGGTGATCTGACAAAGTTCCATATCCTACTGATCAACCATCCAAATATAACATAACACATGTATTGTGTGAATATTGTCATTTATTAGATGACAATACATAAAATATTAACATTTTATATAATAATAACAAAAATAATCTAAGGGGAGATCCAGACAATACTGACATCACAAGTTGCTTTTATAAAATCCCTGAATATGACAAAGTGATCTCCCCTGCTACATAACTTTACAGAACTTTGACAAAATAAAATACAACATAAAACTTTTCAACAAACTATCCAAAAATGATATTTTGATACATACAAACAAACAAAAAGAGCAGCCACCAAAGGCAAACAGAATGTTTGCAACCCCCACACAAGGAAGTAGCAACACGTTTTCTAATTTCATAGAACATAAATGACTTAAGAACATTGCACATGGCCATGTGAAATGAAGAACCAGTAGGCACACTATTATGCAAAATAAGTCATACATAACAATAAAATTAAACAGTGACATTAAATACATGTTAAGTAAGACTTTTGGTGAAGACCTGTATTCAAAATAAAAGCATTAACAGTAATACATGTACTATTAAACAACTACATGTAAAATATTGAGCAATTAATACTGTGCACAGCAGTTGACTGCTGACCTGTGTGCAAAGGTTATAATGGAAAGGGACTAGAATATAATATACAGCAGTTAACTTCTGTCCTGTGTTTTGGTTAAATAAAAAAAATGGGACTAGGGAATACACAGCAGTTAACTTCTGACCTGTGATACTTTGCACCAAGGGACTAATAAAAATACTCATAGAAACAGCAGTTGACTTCTGACCTGTATATGAACACAAGAATATGGCACAGTTAATTGACACGGTATTTTATAAGGAGATAACCAGAGGTTGGAATTTAAACTGTAAAGCTTTGCAAGCGTATATATCTACGAACAGCATCAGATTTCCATCTGCCCATTTTCTGTATGCAATTTTCAGAATAGCCTAAATGTGCTGCGTGTGTAGCTGCCCCTATTCTGAAACTATGCCCTTTATAAAGAGCTGGGTTTAGGCCAATAAAACGGATTGTATTTTGTAAGTTTTTGGTTACAAATGCATATGTGACTGGTTCCCCCCCCACAAATTGAAATAAGGGACCCGATTCATGAGAAAATGTTTTTAGGTAGAGCCACAGTGATTGAACTGGGCACATATCTTCGTTGCCTGAAGCCTCAAGGTTAATTTGAAAAAGATCATTTGTTTTATTTGTTTTGAAGTTCTTCAATACTATTGTGACTGCACAAGGTGTTTTATGTTGAAATTGAAAAGTCACATCGTCTCGCTGAATGACTGTGGATTGTTCATTTTTTGATTTGATAACAATTTCCCCTAAACGCAAGAATGCATTAAACGCTAAAAGGAAAACGGACTTGAGTAGGATCCTGGTATATAAATTTTGTACTGATGAACTGAGACCTTTTACTAATTTTAACAAAATGGGGGCAGTAATTGGCAATCTTGAATCTTTGTTTGGTGCAGAATGATAGCATCCTTGGAGAATTTTTCTAACTAAAAATGCCTCAGCAGGGTCTGGGACAGACAGAATCTTGTGTACATAGCTAATTGCTGATACATGTGAAGATATACTGCTAGGGGAATACCCCTTTGAAAAAAGTTGTGCTATAAAATTTGATAAAACTGTAGCAGTAATAGGAAGGGAATTGATTGTAGGATATTCTAAGAAAAACATGTCCCATGTTCTTTTGTAAGAGGCTTTTGTACTATTCGATAAAGCAGCTGCTAGAAGTTGGCATGCTTGCGGATTCAGATTTTCAAAGAGGCCTGTGGAATGTGTGTTGGCTGTCGATTTAACCGAGGCATGAACTGGAAGGCTGCCTGAAATTGGAATCGAGATAAGCGGTCAGCTGCAACATTGTGTTTTCCTGGTATATGTTTTGCCCTAAAGTGTATGTTCCATTTTAAGGTTGCCAACACAAGGCGACGTATCAATTTCATGAGGATTTTTTCTTTGGCAGTTTGCTTATTTATAACTTGTACCACCGCCATGTTATCTGACATAAAGAGTACCCTTTTATTTTCCATCTCTTTGCCCCAAATTTCAATGGCCAAAACTATTGGGAAAAGTTCTTTAATTGCAATTTGATATTCCCCCATATTATCTTGCCAATGAGAAACAAACCACTGGGAGTCTAAAATGGCTGCAAACCCCATGGACCCAGAAGCGTCTGTGTATAATGTGAGGTGGTCTGAGGAAAACCATTTTTCTGACAAGAAAACAGATTTTCCATTAAACGTGTCTAGAAATGTTAGCCATGTTTCTATGTCAGCTTTTGTTTCATGAGGGAGTTCAATCAAGTCATTAGGATGTTTTACACCGCAGGTCAAATCGATCAAACGTCTCAAGAAAGCACGCCCAGGAACAATAACAGAACATGCAAAGTTCAGTAACCCGATTAGGGCTTGAAGATCGCGTAGATTTGTTTGGGTTTTTTCCAGCATATCTAAAAGCTTTTGCTTTACTTTCCGAATTTTGTCAAAGGGAAGACGCGCTTCCATTCTAGTAGAATCTATCTCAATGCCATAGATTGTAATAATTGTGGTCGGAGTTTGTGTTTTTGACATTTTGATAGGAACCCCAATTTTCCTACATAAGTAGAGGAAGTTTGTTAGATCTTTTTCGCAGCTAGGAGAATCAGCTGGGCCAATAAAGAAAAAATCATCTAGAATGTGGGACATACCCCCTGCCATGTACCTTGACTGCATAATCCACTGCAAGGCTACACTTAACTGTTCAAAAATCTGGCACGAACTACTTGCTCCCATCGGTAGACATCTATCGAAATAAAACTTATTTTTCCAAGAAAAACCTAATAAATGATAGTCAGATGGATTAACTGGGATTATTCTAAAAGCATCTTCTATATCAGTTTTTGCCATCAAGCAGTTCTTGCCATTTTTCTGAATTAGCTGAATTATCCAGTCAACGGTATCATATTGTACTGCTGAGTTTTCCCTGGGTATGTTCACATTAACAGAATTGTCTTTCGGGTGAGATAAATCATGAATAATCCTGAATTTTCCCTGCTCAGATTTTGGTACTACTCCTAGTGGGGAAGAAACAAAAGGATCAAATGGTGGGTCTGGAAAGGGGCCTGAAATGCGTTTAAGCTGTAGACTCTTTGTAATGTGATTATCTATGATTTCCTCATGTTTTAAAGCTGAGCTGTGATTTTTTGACAAGGGGGCTGAAGGAGTGGTAATACAACCTAGAGAGAACCCATGTGTAAACCCATTTACCAAGTAAGCTTTTAGATCTGGATCATATCCATCTAATTCTTTATTTAAAATGTTTGGTCTTACTGGGGTTGGTAGTTCTGTTTTCTTGAACTCCTTGGGGTGGTGAAGTACACTTGTACTGTGGGTGTTGTCCCCTACATGATTGACATGTGTGAGAAAATTGACATGGGGTGTTTTTGCATTTTTCCCCCCGGTTAAAAGCAAAGCAGAAGCGGACTCTTCCCGCTTGTTTGCCACGAAAGGGCAGCGCATTATAATTGGGTTTTATGGCCTGAGCAATACATTTTCCTCTCAGTTCTTCTACTGGCTTTTGCCATGCGAGGTCGACCGACTCCCTCAATTTTCTGAAGGACTCATCATATGCCCTCCAGGCTGCATCACCATAAAGCTTATGCATTTCTCTGATAAAGCTCATGTATTTCAGCAGGTGGGGAGCCTCTGATGAGTTCTTCTGAATTCTGATACTGATAAAAATCAGAAAGGCGTCAGTCCACTGGTTGATTGACATGGGGGTTTTTGGCTTTAAGGTATGCTGTACATTAATAACCCCCGGAGAAATGGACAGCATAAGAGGGTCTTCCTCCTGACGCGACAGCAGTAATCGTAGATCAAAAAATTCATTAGCCCAAACTTTTGATTTAATTTTTGAAGATACTGTCGCACCAAGAGGAATTCCCTCTGTTACAGAAATTATATTGTCTGTATTCATGGATTTTGTGCCTACTGGCTCACCTGCACTAGAACTCAACAACTGAGAAACAACTGTTTCTATTGTGGATGGTGACTCGTTCCCTTGTTGAGAAGAAGATGACTGTTCTGGTAACTGGGACTGTGTCTCTGGCAAGCCTGACCCCTTAGGTTGTGTATTGGACTGAACCATGCTCTTGGACAGTGTCTTAGCGGGCTCATTTTCTCCGGCTAAGGAAGGCGATGACACCTCAGAATTGGTTGATTGTTGTATTTTCACGATTTCTTGTGCCAGCCTGGCATAGTCAATGGGCTCAGTCGTTAAAGTTTTGGCTCTTTTTGTACCAGACACTGTCTTTGATGTTCCAGGTTGGTCCAAATTGTCCATTGAGTCTTGCCCCCTCTTGCGTCTTGGCATGTTTCTGCGTCTACAAGACATCCTACTGTATTAACAAACAGAAAATATATATCCTATATCTATATCACAGTCTGGTAAAACCCAGTACATATGCAAAAATATGAACTTATGAAGTGTACCCAGTGTGTCAGATTAACCAAGTATTCAAAAGTATCATAAAGTATACTATAATATTCTATACAATATATGTAACAAGGGTACTTGACTAATGATGTGTTAAGTACATCTTGCTAAATGCCAGTAGGCCTGAAATGTCAAGGTGATGGTTGACCACAAGCTGGGACTTTACTCTCTTAAGCACACTACTCTGCATGTACTTAAAGGAACAATTGCCTTTTAAGTTTGTGACAAATAATGAACACACCGTTTGTGTGGAAATAAAATAAACAGTTACGCACTACTCTGCGTGCCACTAACAAGCACACTACTCTGCTTGTGACTGACAAAGCACACTACACTGCGTGTGACCAACAAAACACACTACTCTGTGTGTGATTAACAAAACACACTACTCTGTGTGTGATTAACAAAACACACTACTCTGTGTGTGATTAACAAAACACACTACTCTGCGTGTGATTAACAAAACACACTACTCTGCGTGTGATTAACAAAACACACTACTCTGCGTGTGAAAATAAGTACACTACACTGCGTGTGAACTAACCCAACATACTTTCTCGCATGTGAAAACAAACACACTATTCTGCGTGTGAGTAACAAAAAACATACGAACACAACACACTATTCTGCATGGAAGTAATAAGATATACTTAATTAGAATATGAAAACAAACACACTACTCTGCGTGTGATAGCAATTGATACATGTATAAGTAATATGGTTAGATGACCATATTATTAATAAATCAACTGTTAATTATTATGACAGGACATATTATCCTAGTAAGCATCTTGCAATACCATGTTCATTTTGCCTTATTATAACAAAACAACAAGAATGCTTAACAATAACAGTTACTATTTAATAATTCCAAAAAGAAATGTTAGACTTAGAGTTTTCAGCAGGTATGCAACATACTAAGTGCATTATTTACAACTGATTGCACTAATTTTAGAAGTGTAATAAAGTGACATGCTTATCTGGAGTGCTGAAGGACAGCTATCCTGATACTGTGCAGATATTTTTTCATGTGAGTCGAATTTGCATCAATATGCACCCCATCTTTTCCCAGGTAGGACAGGTCCGCCCAAAAACCACGATGCGACCAGAAATGGATACCCTCAAGCTTCTTAATTTCAGTCCGCAGGAGGTTGTTTGCATCTATGACGTCAGCATTGTATGAGGGAGAGGATGCCCAGGGTTGTCGTCTCAGCAATTGACCTATGATGACCGTCCGTACACCTACACCATCCCGTAGATACTGTGCATATGAAATAATGTCTGTGCACACCTTTCTTGGTTTTGTTTGGCATAAGTCATTTTCTCCCATCTGGACGAAGCATACTTGTGGAGGTTTTGTAAAATTCATAAATTCTGGGCATCGAGAAAGTCGTGTAAAAGTTAAACCTCCTCGTGCTAAGAAATTCACCTTAAAATAGTCCGGATCCAATTTAAGGTTATACATCTCGGCAGATGTGCAGCTATAATCCCTCAAACGACGAATATATGAATGTCCTATCACAAAAACTTCAGTCGTCATTTCCTCGAAATGGACGGAGCCTGCCTTGTCCTGGGAAAACACACACAAAACTAATTGAACTTACTTTCTTGCTTACTTCAGTTCATGAAAAAGAAAGTACACCGTCAGTTTCGTTTTCTTCACTTCAATTATACGTTCCACTCCAGTAAGTCAACAAAATTCCTCCTTGTTTACAAAGTTCGTTTAACCGTCGCTATCTAAATATCACGTGATCATTGGATGTCATTATTTACAATAATGTTGTAAGTTGAAAAAATTAGTTTGTTAAAATTACATTTTAAGTGTTTCAAATTTTTAAAATCAGCTAGATTTCAGAAAGTAATTCAAAAAATGCCAGATTTTTAACAAGGAAAGCAGTCGAACAGATTAGAAAGACTGTTATTATCTTGCGTGTTAATGTTCAGAAAAGACATCAGCTTGGTTCTGTGTACATGTATTAGGAAAGGCAAAGGACTGTTTTGAAAATTATATCTTTCATAATGAGCGAAAAATTTTGTATTAAACGAGCATTCATTCATATAAGTCAGCCTTTGGTATAAATTAGTTGTTCATATTCTATTTGCATGACTACTGTAAAACTAAAGGCGATGATTTTATATTCTGTGTTATAATTAGTAGGACTAATTCGTCTATAGTTTTTTAAAAGGTTATTTTCTCCTTTCTTGTGTTTAAGGGAAATAATTGTGAGTCTTTGAGAAAAGTCTATTTTTATTTCAATAAAATTTCCTTTTACATTTAAAGAAAAGAAGATAATAGGTCCCAAAAACACTGATAAAATTTATTTAGTATTCCGTCTAGACCAGAGGCTTATTTGATATCATATTCATTGCTGTTTCCTTACAGTCATACATTGAAGGGAAAAAATTCAACTTTATGTCTCTTCCCTTATTGGAAAGTTTTTTTACAATACAACTGTCTGTCTAAATATAAGTCAATATCGTCACTCGGCACTAATTCTGAAGAATATTGATTTTGATTAAAATCACACATTTATCATCATCATCGCTGAACATATTATTATCGCTTAAAATTGCATGAATGGCATTCTTGTTTGGTGGGTTTTGTTTTTCTAAACTTAAAAAAATATTTGATTTTTTTTAACTTTCACTATCCAATTTTGACCGTGATCGGATCTGTGTCCCTCAACCTTTTTATCGTTTAAGTTACCATATTGATATTCTAGAATGTTTTTTTTTTATTTAGCGTGTATTTTATTATGGGAAGAATTTTCAATTTCAATACTTCTCCACATTTAGAAATAGAAAAGGAGCGATCGATCACAGATATATTTGTCATTTATATATATTTTTATGTTTAATACAATTTATTGAACCTTCGTCATACATATTATGCATTGTATATACTCTACTTCAAAAACAAATAACAGGGTAGATATTAAATTAATGTACAATTAAAATTTGTAAATTTTTCTGGTTTTAATGAATTTTGTTTTCCATTTTTAGATGAATTTCAATTTGAAGGAACCTATTTGGAATCACTCCCAAATGGTGTATTTCTTAGGAAACGTGCAAATGACATGAGTACAGTCATATTGGATGGAGATTTCATGGACATTGTTCGGGTAGGGATAGAAATTGAAGATTTGGAAAATTCGGAGAATACTGATAATGTAACGATATTGCAAGTTGGCTTTAAGAACAACGGGATTCTAAAATATGACAAGACCAATGTTTTATATGATTTATCTGTCTCTGCAAAATATTGCGAAAGTAATAGAATATGTTTGATCGTACAAAATAAAACCAATTTTTTGTCGAAGCGGATAGTAAGTTTACGGGGGAGAAAAGCTTATTTTCGAGGGATATTATCATTTGAATACTCCAGTGGAAATAAACTAAATGTATTCTTTCAATCAACTAAGCTTATATGTACACCATTAGCTAGTGTTCCTGTGTTAGATTTGAAATTGTACACAATGATTGCTCAGTTGGCGGATGCCTTCTTTGCAAAATCAGTTATGACCTTTTATGATGACATCAAAGTGTTTAATCAAGTTCACAAAGAAATCTTCGTATCTCCAGATGGGAAAGCCATTGCAAATTATGATATTGAATACCAGTTTAGAAATTCTTTTGCTGATTTAGCCATTCATAAAAGTACTGGATTTGGTAGATCTATCCTGCAATATGAAGGAGTTGTAACATTTCAAAAAAATTCGACATTTATTGATAAACAGGAAAAAAATTTGTTTGAAGTGGGATTAGCTCCATATCATTTGTTATCAAAAAAGACGGCGTTAAGAAATGAAAAGGAAACATTTTTTATTCAAGTGTCGTTCCAATACAATATTTTAACAGACAGCAGATTTCACTTTTATGTTTGGAAAAATGGTACAAGGAAGGGGCACTTTATATTGAGTACGGCATACATAGCAGAAAACCAATTTAAATTCTTTTTTCAGTTTATTATAGATTTAGATTCGAACCGAATTAAAATTAATTACAAACTTAATAATCCCACTAGTTTCGGAGATTTTAAAAATGTGGAATTTGAGAGTATATTATGTCCAACAGTGGGCAAGGAAACTTCATTATATCCAATTACAATTTCCTACAAAATATGGAGACCTGAACCTTTTCATTTTGATGCTAATTAATCAGGTTTATGAAGTACTTCATTTCTTGTGTTATTCTAGGAATCATTGCACTTTGAGTTTTTACGTGAAGAGCAAAATCAGAAATTCTTATCCAGGGTATTTTGATTACGTCACATATCTTCCAAATATAATTTTGTAAATAACTACATATTAAGGAGAGTTAGATTTCTATTTAGACTTGTCACGTGATGTAGCAATCAAGGGATTTTAGCACAGACATGCAGTATTGTGATCACTTCCAAATCAATAGTTCAATAGCATACAAAGTTTAATTTAAGATATTTTTGATAGTCATTGTAAATTGTTACAAGTTCTGCGATCATTCATAGAATCTACAAATATTAATCATTTTTGTACATAAAGATATCTATAAACAAATGTTCTCATTAACTTAACTTAAGTCTAACATTTAAAGGTTGGGAAGGTATTTAAAAAACATACTTGCAACTCCTCTCAATACTTCAGAAATACTGTATACGAGGGTTGTCCCAAAAGTCGTAGACAATATTTATAACTTTTTTAACATGCAACCAATACTAACCAAATTTTGCATGGACATAATATATTCAATATTCTTTACAATTGTAAATTCTTAAGAATACATTTTTCATATTAATTCTATTGGGACAATTTATATGACGGTCGATACTCGATATGGCGTGTCTACGAATAATTTTCGCATATAACTGTTACAATTGCTTTTATTTCTTTGATACTATGTAAAATATTAAACTCTAATCTAAATCAATGAAACAAGAATCAAAATCTTAATAACATGTCAAATTTTCATATTCATAGCATTAGAAACAGACGATTACTGCCAGGATTGTCAAATTGTTGTTGGAATTGAGTTTGATGAATATGACGTCATCAAACGCGTATCGGCGCACCGAAAATAGTTACCGCATGTACAGCTGTAAGAAGTAGCTAGAGTACTGTTTGTTAAACGCGACATTGGGAATGTTCTAGGCCACGAACGACGTCAAACAATGTGTATTTTCTGCTGCCTAAAATGGAAGGTGATCTTTTCAACTAAATTTCGACTGAAATTTGAATCTTCTAAAAAAAAGGACAGCAGTGAATTTAAATAAGTCCCTTAGTCAAGAGTGGTTTTTCACTTGAATAATATTGGGATCTTAACAGATGCGTTTGTGTTTTTCACTTAAATAATATTGGGATGTTAACAGACGTGTTCGTAGCAGTAAAAGAGATCAAGACGTTATAAGAGACGTAAAATATACTTGCTTTCGTGCGCCGATGTACAATTGCATGATTGCTCTATTTAACATAATTTTCTCATTAAGTGTGATATCATCATATAAAACTTAAAATACAGGATCATAAAATGTTACTCTTTGCTATGATAAGAAAAGAAATTTAATTAGCAGAGAAACTAAACTGGTTTTCCTGTCTACGACTTTTTGGGACAATCCTTGTACACAACACTCTCATATCTTTTGTAGTTTGATCCCTCCTCTATAAATTTTGGTTGCAAAAGCTGTATCACAGCTTTGATTGCAAGTATACAACAGCTCAGACGATATGAATGCCGAAACATTAGCAAAATACTGGCAACCTAAATTTTGAATAAATGTAATGTAAATACCAAATATTTCCTTACAAAAACTAAAGTTGACTATAGTTATAAGTTTGACACTTTGAAAAACTTCATTGAAAGCTATGACACTTTTTTGAAAACTTTAACACTTTATTTAAAACTTTGACAATTTGAAAAACTTTATCAAAAGCTTTGACACTTTGAAAAAACTTTATCGAAAGCTTTGACATTTTGAAAAACTTTATCGATTTAAGGAGAGATGATACAAACAAAAAATGGAGGCCTAGATTAGTATATATATATATATATATATATATATATATATATATATATATATATATATATATATATATATATATATATATATATGCCTTTTTTTATTGAAAATGATTCAAATAATAAATTTCTAGAATATAAAGAAAGCGTAAACCTTCTACGATGTGAAAAATGCTGCCTCCCTGAAACCATCCTTATTAAGGTATTCCGATCCTCAGGTTCTGAAAATCAAGCATTGACTTATTAAAAATGCTCACAAAAATGTCTCTGAATTTTCAAAGTAATGTGTTTTTTACCCATAATAATTCTTTAAACTTCATCTTTCAAGGTAATATTATATAGAGATAATAAGTTAATCTCAAATATATTTTCAGGAATTGCGAATAAAAACACCTGCTATGCATTTTCCAATTCAAATTTGATCAATTAACACATTTTAAAATAAAAATCTTAGGTATCCAGGCTTTTGAAGAAATTCCACAATTTTTATATATATAATGATTGATTGATTGATTGTGTATTGTTTAACGTCCCTCTTGAGAATTTTTC